GAACTGTACACGTCTCTGCCAATGCTTAGACATATGTTACACATCGATCACACCAATATTAACCTGATTACTCCACACTTTAATAGATTCATCCTGAGCGCTACGTGTGAAACTCCGTTCGCAACTGTGGCCAACGAACATCGCACGGTTGTAAATTTCAGGAAAACGAATAAACAAAGTTGTATGAGGCAAGTTCAGACGTCGCAATTCGCCTTCGTATCTTCCACAGCAACTCCCGACGGTGCCGAGATAGGCATGTCGAAACATTTAACCCCCGTAACAAAGTATATGGTAACTCTTCCGGCATATCAGGTGGTACCTGTCAGGAATCTCGTAATCGATATGTTAGGTAATTGCCTAAATACAACTGGCGGTTGACAAAGTGGGTGCGCGGCATCGTCATTGATAATCCCGTGCACGGCGATGGTCGTCTGGCGAATCCCGGATGACATGGCGAAGCAGTCGTGGAAACTCGTCGAGTAGCTCGAGGAGTTATTGTTTCTGCTGTGATGACAGATTTAGATCGACGTCGAGCTCTGGTGGTCTGGTCTTTCTATGTCCGGGTATGTCAGATGCCTCTGCCACTGCAAATTCATTGATCAAGTCGCTGAAATCTTTGGTGGGATATAGCGGCGCACTTGGTTAGATGCTGTGGCTCGTTCCAGAAGCGTGTAACGAGAGCTACGATACGCACGTCCTGATGCGTCAAAAAGCTCCTGATAACGCCTATACCTTTTTCTAGTAGCAAGGAGATGCTTCCTTCGAATAGCGCTCCTCCTCAGGTGATCTCGTTGATCCGGACAAGTACAAGGACTCTTGGCCGAGGTGGCAGGCTCACACGATCGGCAAAACATTCGGACCGCGCCTGGCAATGATTTTTAATCTTCCGGTGACGGAAAGGGCTTTGTAATCTTCCGCTTGTTTTCACAGAGGCTAATGACAGCGCTCTTCTCACACAAAAAAGTACATTCCCAATATAATGTACCTCAAGCACTCCTGCAACGCAATGAACATCACCGTACAGGTTTCAGATAGGTTCATGGTGCGGCAATTAACGCAGCTCTGTGAGTTCAATAAATCAGGCAGCTTAATTTCTATTCTTTACAGATTGTGAAAAGTTACCTGCTATTTGTCACAGACAAATTTGTAATCATAATCCTAGAAAAGACAAATTTATAATCTTAATTTTCTTCTCCTCCGGTCGCTTTATCTATAAAGAGACCTTATAAATATTAAATCATGATGTGCTTTTTAACGCTAATCCCCGATCGCAAAATTGTGTCCGTGCGTCCGTCCGTCCGCCTGTGCGTTTGCCGCTAAATTTAGTGGGGAAATTGATAACACGATTTACGCGATTTCGCTTATACGCGATTTCAGTTTCTCAGCTAAATTTAGCGCGAAAATCGTTGTTACGTGATATGACATCATGTAACCTACAGACCAATTGTTTTCCCGCTAAATTTACAGGAAAAATTGACGTCACGTGATATATATGTGCCGATCCCGTTTCCCGCTCTAAATTTTACGGAAATGGCGTCACGTGACCTAAAATTGATGGCACCTGACTTATACGTCAACTCACCTTCCTTGCTAAATTTAGCGGGGAAGTTTCTGTCTTGTGGCCGAAACATCAATTCAGTTTCCCTGCTAAATTTAGCGCGAGAATGACGTCTGGTATATCTACCAATCCAGTTACCCGCTAAATTTAGAGAGAAAATTCACGTCTTGTGACCTAGACACCAATCGAGTTTCCCTGCTAAATTTAGAGGGAGAAATTGACGTCACGTGACGTGATGTAACGTAACCTTATACACCCATTTAGTTTCCCCGCTACATTTAGCGGCAAAAATATACGTCAGCCGACACACCAATTTAGTGAGACGTGGGTCCTGTCCCCATTCTTTCCGTTCGTCTCCGGTCTTAAAAATGTGCAATCCTTCATCAGTTCCCTGTGATGCCTTTCTTGCAGTGTAGGACTTTGAAAGTAAAAGTAAAGTAAAAGTAAAAGTCGCGGCCATTTTTTTTTACTTCGACTTGACAAAAACCTTAGCCATAGTTAACGTTAGTTTGTTGCTTTATCTTGAAAAAGCGTTTCTGATTTGAAATTAAACGACTCTGTGATGTTGCATATCTACAAATGTTAGATTCTAACGACAGAAGGGAACCTGTCGTTCGACAAATGCTTATCAAGACATTTGCGATTTTATTTTAGTTTCTAGCTTCGATCGCGTTCCGACAGAAATGTGTACTAGCGTTAATATTAACGTTGCCAATCTATAACGTAAGAGGACTTTGTGTGGACTGGTATGTAATATAGAATGTTTAAAGGAGACAGTAATTCTTATAAGTTATATTGTAGGTACGGGCATCTGAAGATAAGATTAGTTTTTGAACCTTACGAAATATTTACTTGTAATCATAACAAACAGCAGCTTAAAAGAGTGGCAATCAAACCCGCTCTTCGACCGTAAGTTGACATTTTATCTCCCCTTTTAAATTTTACAAGGACTCGCTTTAGTAATTTCGCAAGAATGCTTGATTTGTAGTGGCTTTACGTTGCAGTGAGCCGGAATGTTGAGTAATTGAGTGCCCCTAAATGGTTGTAAACAGGATAAACACCCAAATTCATTGCCTGATTATTTAATTGAAACGTAGATTGTATTTACATTAATAAACTGCCTCCACCTTTGAAGGATGAAATTTTCTAATGCAAACGTTTATCGATAAGTGGTCTGAATTAGGATTAGTCTTTAATCTAAAGCCATCTTTACAGAGGTAGTTTCCAGGCAGTTTTATTTAGTTGCAACATTTCTACCTAGTGCGGTAAGGAAATAACTAAAACGCTGCGTTGCGTCCAACTGCGCCCGCGCTGCATTGGGCTGCACTTGCCAGAGAAGCCGCTTGGCGGCTAAAAGCAGACATGTGTCGCTATCGGGCGCCCACAGTACATACCCATTTCGGAATTATGAAGCCATCTTTTGTCGGAGCACCGAACTATTGCAAATGACGGCTCTCTTTTCTTCTCTGTGCAGACGTCACAAAGTACCCGCGCTATTTGCGTGCCCTTTGCGGTCTCTGAAGTTTTGAGGGGTGCATTTTCGAGGCGATATCCTACATTAATGTAATCTGACAATAACTGAGACTTTCTAATAAATAAAAAAGACACTTTGTTATAACTTTCAAGCATCCAAAGTGTTCCTATTTCAAGCTACCATTTCATACCCCCTTATTGACAAGACTTGCACAAATTGCTTAAACTATTATTTTTTAAAGATATTAATGAGATATTAATGTTTAACAATATAAAGTGAAAGACCAATGCTGAAATAAAAAAAAAGTAATCGTAAAAAAATTTCCAAATTATAGCTTTGATGTCTCTGGGCAACACCAGGCAAAAATCCGAAAGTGGCCTTATTCCGTAACCTCAATCAATAATATTTGATTGAGGTTACAGAAAAAAGAAGTTTGGCCTTATTTCGTAACCAAATCAATAATATTTGAGCTAAAGATAGCCTCAAGTAAAACGGTCACCAATCGTAAGATGTTAGTGGCCAGAGAAAAACGCTTCCCCATATTTTTCGTCGTTCAGCCGTTCCCGGTCGCCACCTACTTGACGCCAAACTTCTTTTTATTTTTTTAAGCTGTTGGCATATCTTTTGATTGGATGAAGCTGTAGTATCGATCTTCAAGACCGTTGCCAGAGTACTAGATTTTAAACAAAAAACGTTATAATACAGTAAAAACTATTCAACAAACAAAAAGTATTGCGTGGTGTGTTGCATTTAGGTTGCATTCGTCAACAAAAGTTTAAATTTACCGAGTGGTTGAAAAACTAATTTATGTGCTTGAAACTGAAATATCGCAAAAAACTTATCACGGTTCTAATTAAAGCGCCCCTGGCACAAACGATTCAATAGAACGAGCTCTAAAAAAAGCTGTAGTTGTTGATAGGGTCGCACACACATTCATTTCGAGCTGACACAGCCAACAGTTCCTTCGTAAGGCGCGACCAGTTTTTCAAAGATATCTGGCCAGACTAATTGCTGCTTTAAATCAAGTATAAAAAAAAAACGAATCACATATTTTGCACTTTTATGTCATATATTTATTGATAAAAAAGACGTGCAATATTATACCATTTGAACGACACAGTTGCCTGAAGATAGATTCTGAAGTAGCACATATATATGCCCCCCTGCCCCGTAAAAGAGTTAAAAAGACTGAAAATGTGTAAAACTAAGTTATATTTGTCTAGCGATACTTCTTATAGGGGTATGCTAATCTTACTCGGCTTACATCTTGTTTAAAGGGAATACAAACTATAGAAAAGGACTACACATTTTAGAGATTTCCCATCTTAACTTCTACGGGAATCAATGATGCATTCAATAGATTTTAATGCACCTAAATAACGCGTTCACTCTATAAACGTCTGACCATCTGAATTTAAGCAAAACTATAAGCTCGCACTAAAGCAAAAATCTAGTCGACGAGTTTTTTGCAGGTTTACTTGATGGTCGCAATACTACGTGCTATAGGCCATTCATCGGTAACGTTCTAGCAATGCAAATAGAGGACGACCAATATCACGTCTTTATTTTCTTTTATATTTTAGTGCGGGCAAGTTTTATACGAGTAATGACCATATTCGAAGGTTACACCTTCGAGTATGGTGTAACCTTCGAGGCTACACTATACTCGACGTTGCCCTGTACAACTGTCCTTTATAAAACGAAGCTTATAGCTCGTGATCTGAATTTTCACTTGGAACCTGACGCACGTTTATGGAAATAAAAAAATAACAGGTCATCGCGCGACGTACCTAGATAAAACTAAAATTAAAACTCGACTCGGCGAATCACTGACAGCCTGTTGCTCCAGTTCATTGCAGTGACTGTGATTTTTTTTTTTACTATTGGTTTTATGCATACATTAATTAGCCGCACGTTCACGGGGATGTCCTGTATAAGGTTGCGTTAACTTCATTGTTAAGCGCGATGCGAAAATTCGTTCTCTTTTTTTTACTTTACTCCCTTCGTAGTACTGGTGTTGGGACCAGCGCCGTCTACGAGTCGGGACATTTACATATATAAGGGGCTTCAGGACGGATCCTACTCAGCAGTCGCACCTTCGCAGGCTCGTATACTTCACCATGACCGGAGTAAGTTAAAGTTCAGTGCTCGCAGGAAGTAAGATTTGCCGCCTTAATCTTGAAATGCAATTCGCTTAGGAAAAAAGGATAATTTCAACTTCACGTGAAACATAGAACTGGCTTTAAATTTCAGCAATACGATTAAGACTTCGCGGGTACTAACATAGCTGGGGTTAGAACTCAATGTATTTCTACTAAACTATAGCAAGAATGAAATAGGGACGGCCACTTACAAGTATCTTTTCTTCGATTGCAAAATCCTTATACCCAAACGACTCTCTAATATCCTCAATCAATCTGTACATGTTTGTATCAACCGATATTTAATTATGGCCTTTGAAAGAGTCGATATAAAAATTTTTCTCAACTTAATAGTACATGCATGCGAGTGTTTTACGTGTGCTGGAAAGTTCTCACCTTTTATTTTATATTGCTACTTTTAAATGTCGAGTTCCTGAGGAGTAATTGAGTAGTGGTAAAGATACGCAGTCACCTGGGTGAAATGCATACCCAACTTTTTTAAGGTTCGGGCATTACCATTTCATCCTTATATTTTTTCCCGTCACTACTGATCCATTTAGGAGTAATCAGATTTTGCTGAGCATTTAGATCACGCGTTTTATTGAAACAAAAATTTTAATTTTTTCATTACGCACTTATAATTTCCCCAGTGTTTTAAAGAAAGTAAAAGTGCTTAAACGATTTTCAAAGGACTCGAGAAAAATAAATACGTATTTTCAACTATTTAATTGGACATTGAGAAAGCTATACGCCCAATTTTAGCTGCTTTGAGCAAGCAGCTCCAAGGAAGCGCTAATCTTTAATAATTGGAGGGGCGTGCAACCAAAAATGTACTAACTATAAAAATATTTTAAAGAAGAGAAGGAAAACCTTTTGCTCAGATGCCGCAAAACAAACAGCCTGAAAACTCATCATGTTGCCACTTAAAAGGCAAAGAGAAAGTGCTTTCACATCCGGAGATTAAATTTCACTTGCAACAAATGCAATTACTTTATTGCTACGAGGCATGTGGAGTATTTTTGCTTTTCGAGTTCACTTTACTTTGATCTGAATTGTCTACTTAATCATCACTTATTCACAAAAACGCTTTTATTTCGGATGAACATGTTCTTTGGAAAATAATGATTGAATTAAGGCGTTAATGAAGAATAAGATGTAATTTATGGTTTACATTTTCCAGCTTCGTGCATGCCTTCTTCTAGCCCTGGCCAGCAGCGCCATTGCTGGTCAAATCCATGGCGGCCTTAGCCACGGCCTCGGCCTTTCCGGTGTCGGCTATTCCGGCCTTGGTTACTCTGGACTGGGCTACGGTTCCCTAGGCTACGGTTATGGTCTCGGCTATGGCCAAGCCGTGGGTTTCGGCAACGGCTTTGGCTACTCGGGTCTGACCGGATACACCGTCGCTGCCCCAGCCGTGAGCCGCACCGTGTCCACCTACCACGCTGCTCCGGCCGTCGCCACCTACCACGCTGCTCCAGCTGTCGCCACCTACCAAGCTGCTCCAGTTGCTACCTACCACGCTGCTCCAGCCGTGACTAGGGTGTCTACTATTCAGGCTGCTCCGGCTGTCGCCACTTACGCCGCTGCCCCAGTCGCCACCTACGCCGCTGCCCCAGCTGTCACCAGGGTCACTAGCTACCAGCCAGCTGTCGCCCGTGTCGCTACCTACCAGGCAGCTCCAGCTGTCACCCGTGTCGCTACCTACCAGGCTGCTCCAGCTGTCGCTACCTATGCCGCTGCTCCAGTTGCCACCTACGCCGCTGCTCCAGCTGTGACCAGAGTGTCCACCATCCACGCTGCTCCGGCTGTGGCCAGCTACCAAACCTACCATGCACCAGCTGTTGCCACCGTCGCCCACGCTCCAGCTGTGGCAAGCTTCCAGACCTACCATGCTCCCGCTGTTGCCACTGTGGCTCACGCTCCAGCTGTCGCCAGCTACCAGACCATCCACGCTGCCCCAGCCGTTACCACTTACGCCCACGCTGCTCCAGTGTACGGATACGGCGTTGGATCCCTCGGCTACGGTGTCGGCAACTACGGCTACGGACACGGTCTTGGAAGCTACGGCCTGAACTACGGTTACGGCCTTGGCACCTATGGCGACTACAGCACCCTCCTCCGCAAGAAGAAGTGTAAGTACATACTCATCGGTATAATGATTTCAAATGCTGTCTAAACAATCAGCTTAATTCCCATTTCATCGGAAGTGTTACTAGCAGGAGGCATACTGTTTAGAGAAGCTTGATTTAGAGAACGCCGTCTCACCGACCCCAGTTTATCGAATTCTTTCGTAGAGAAACCCAGTTTAAAGAAAAATTGCTATGACCCTCCTTTTAGAAAATTCAGCCGCCTCGAAGTGGCCTGTAGTGATGAGTCACGTGGATTGACATTTTTGTAATGAGCCGCCACAGACTTTCGCCGCGAAGTGACGTAAACGCGGGAGCTGAGGGGGGATGGAGGGGGGGGGGGGGGGGGGGGGGTGGGGGGGGGGGGGGGGGGGGGGGGCTAACACGCGTTCTACTGTACACGCGCAAAGCAGGGAAGCCTTTTTTTTAAAAAAGCGTTCCTTTTCTATAAACGGCATCTCTCAAAACTGAGGCTCCGCTTTATCCAGAAGCTTCGATAAAACGTGCTCTTTCTCTAAGACGTGCTCCGATGAAATGGCGTGCGGTCAACCGCTGTAAACCCGTTACTAGCTTATCTTTTTATGCATTTGTGCTGTACGCCGCTGTATTTCTTTTTCAGAAACTCTTTTCCGGAGTTAAGCACAAGAAGTCGCCTGGATGCTTGGTTCTCCTGCCAACCACCAAGTACAATAAACATTTTGAAATGAAACAAACTAAAGAAACGACATTTCTTTATTGGACAGCCTTGATTTTGCGTTCAACCCACTTTATAAACGATTTGTTTGAAGAAAGTCACTTTTTGTTTTATGGGGTGCTGTGAGTCATTCTTGCGTGTTCTTTGCCCAAACCGTACAAACCGTCAGCGTCCCTTGAAAAACAGGTGACCCTTTAAGCCTTCGGGTCTTTCTTTTTTTTTTTACATTTTGAAAATCCTTTTGCTTCCTTCTTTCCCCCTAATCCCCAATGTCTTCGTATCCCTATTAAAACAAAAAAGAAAAAGATAAAAAGTTACGATCACGCCATTGTGTCAGCAAACATCGATTGCGCCGTTTTGCTTTTTTTATCTCGTAACGTATTTGTATGCTACAATATCAGCCTTGTGACACAGTTATAAAGACTATGTCAAACTGGATCACTTTCACTGATTTACAATTAAATGTACAAATATTAGTAGACCTCAGTGCAAATGTTGGAGTATTTATTTTCTCGACTTTGCCCAAAAATCTTTTTCGCGGCCCTCTGTCAAGCGTTGCCCCACCAGTCGCCGCGGAGTATGTCCCGACGGGCCCACCGATGTTTTCGCCGCCCAGGCGGCCATATCCAGACATATAAGATTTCGACTCCTGGCAACACCCGGCCTCAGGAACGTCACGCGACACCTGCTTCGACGAATGGCTACATAAGCCCACCACGCACGACGGCCAGTTGGGGCATTGCATGGCTCGAAATACAACGATGCAAAACCTATTTATGGTTTAGGTGTTGCTGACCGCTAACGTTGCACAACGACTTCGCCCGGAACTCACATGCACGGCCCTCAACCAAGGGATCACGAGTCGCCTCGTAGCCTGTCCCGACACGCCCGCCTATGTTTTCGCCACCCAGGCGGCCCTATCCGGACATGTACGATTTCGACACCTGGCAACACCCGGCCTCAGGAACGTCACATGACCCCTGCTTCGATGGATGGCTACATATGCCCACCACGCGGGACGGCCAGTTGGAGCACGGCATGGCTCGAAATGCAACGATGCAAAACCTATTCATGGTTCATGTTAGTTGTCTCTCAAATGTCGCCTGATATCGTAGCAATGATGTGTGTTTGGTCGTGATGTCGTGCCCCTAGGACCTGTCTGACTATAATGCATGTTCTCGCGTTTTTTTTTTTTTTTTTTTTTCTTTAAGAGAAATAGTTTTTTTTACAACCAGCAACATGGTTTTCGTAGGGGATTGCCTTGTGAGACTCAGCTCGTAGAATTCACCCAAGAGTTATAAACTAATTTTGAATCCAACCACCAAACCGATGCCTTATTTTTGGACTTTTCAAATGCCTTCGATCGCGTTCCTTGCTCTCGCCTGCTTCCTAAATATTCAGGTCTCAAAATCGACCCTCTCGTACTCTCCTTTATCTATGATTTTTTATTTCTATCGCACTCAGTCCACTATAGTTAACAGTCCCTCATCCACCCATGTAGAGGTTACCTTGGGAGTCCCCCGAAAGTCGATTCTTTGTCCCCTATTGTTGTTGTCTTTTAATTTGCATTAATGATCTTTTAGACAAAATTTCCTCAAACATCCGTTTCTTTGCTGACGACAGCGTGATATACAGTAAAAATATTTCATTGCAAGACCATCTCCAGCTCTATCGTGCCCCGGAAAACGTCCAGGCATCCCTTACAGAAATGTCATATATGGCCCAGATATGTTTAATATACGGCCGTATATGGGCATATAAGTAGACATATACGGTCATATATTGCCATATAAGGGCCGAAATCAGGGCAGATATGGTAAGGCGACACCATATATGACGACATATAATGCCAGATAAAGTCATATATGGTACCAGTGGCTGCCATATATAACAGTATAGGATGCCTGATACTCCTGTATATGGCACTATATGGTGCCAGTCAACATGTAGATGCAGCTAGCACTCCGCGTCGGCCGGTAGCGGGTCATCGGGACTACGCCGGCCCGCCCATGGTAACAGGATGGCAGCGCCTCCATGGGCACCGGGGAGCTACCGGCCCCGGCCGGCGTCGGGGTTTCGTCTTGCTCATTGGCCAGTCCAGCCGTAGAAATTACAGTGACTGGCCGGCATCGGGTTTTTGCTGTTTTTGCTGGCTAGTCTTTCCATGGAGGTTCCAGTAACTGGCCGGCATCGGTATTTTGTTGTCTTTGATGGCCGGTATTTACGGAAGTTCAGCAACTGGCCGGCACCGGTATTTTGCTGTCTTTGATGGCCAGTATTTACATGGAAGTTCAGTAACTGGCCGGCATCGGTATTTTGCTGTCTTTGATGGGCAGTATTTATATGGAAATTCAGTGACTGGCCGGCATCGGCGCTTTGCTGTTCGCAGGCTGACGAGCCCCGGGAACTTCCGTTTACTGACCGGCATCGTTCTATTTTTTTTTGCCTTTTTCACTATGCAGTCACGTCATTGAGATTCCGACGAAATGCGGCGATTCATATGTAGCGAGTGGAAATGTTTGCGTTGATCAATCCTTCGTAAATGACCGCCGACGCTGGCGTATTTGATCCCACCATGGCAAGGCTGACGTGTTTTATCGCGAAAATGCGAAAGAAAAAACAATGCCGTGAGGAAAATTTGCAGTCCAGGATTTGAGAATCTGACCCCCTACGCCACGAAAATTAAATTTTACAACGCCGAACGACACTTTTCAGGAAGTTAGTTTAATTTGATGTACTATACTTAAGGTCTGGCGTTATACACACGTGTTTGGCTCTGATAAAAAATAAAAACGGTATAGCGGAGCCTCGAATGAAAAAAGAAAAAAGACGTAGCATGATTGAGCACGCGCTCTGAGCTACAAAATAATAATAAACATTACTTTCCAGAAACTAGAAAAGTAAGAGATGTGTTTATTGCTTATGACGCTACGAGAGGTACATAAATCTCTTGAGGGATCATTTTATTGGTGATTTTAATCTAGTGCTAAAATATGCTATTTAGGGCAGGAATCGACTGTTTTATGTGGTAGTTACGATCATCTAAGAGAAATATTTTCAATGTTCACATAGCCAAACGATATCTGTCTCTTTAATAGCTTATGTTATACGACGTACCGTACCAGAGGAACGCGAATATATAAAAACTTTTTTTCGTTAGTAAAAAAAGCGAGAAACACCAATGCGTTGTGGATGTACACACTGCTGGGTTTGTGTATGTGACCCCTTGACACTACGAAAAATAAATGTTACAATGCCGAACGATAGCATTTCTGAAAGCTAGTTTAATTATCCGCGCTGTACTTGAATCTCAGGAATAAAAAAGTGTTTAGGCCTAACAATAAGTAAAACTGTGGAGCGCAACCTGTATAAGTAAGACCTGGCGGCACGCGGGGGATAGCGCTGATCTGCCAGAACAAAATTAAATACAACTTTCCGGAAGTCAGAAAAATCAGAGATGTGCTTATGAGCGATGAGCTCAACTAAATTACTGCCTTAAAACGGCGGTATTTGTGTTTCAATAGTGGGTGAAGATGGACCGCTTTCATGACAAACTTTGGCTTCATCAGTGTGGCAGTGTTACCACTTACATTTTCCCATTTTTCTCTAAATGTACCCATTATTATTAATTTTATTTCTTCGTTGAAAGGACTTGCGCTGTTTGCCTAATACACTGACCCACCTATTAGCACGGAGGGAGCGAATCATCCTGGCAAAACAAGAGGGCCAGGTTTGCTGAATTGCATCAATTCAAATGTGGGCTCGCACTTTTTATTTTCACCTTCTGCGTGATTGTTACCCTGAAGAAGGGTGCCGACGACAGCCTAAACATAGAAAATATTTAACATAATAAAAACTAATACGCAAAGGCGAGAAAATTTCTAAAATAATAAAAATGAATTAAAAAATGTGAGAGAAAAATATTTAAAATAATAAAAAGTAATACGAAAAGATGAGAAAAAAAAATATATTTAAAATGAAAACTGATACAAAGAGGTGAGAAAAAAATAATACAGAATAATACAAAATAATACCTTAAGGTGACGAAAAAAATTAAAAATAAAAACGAATACAAACAGGTGAGAAAAAATATTTAAAATAACGAATACAAAAAGGTGAGAAAAAAGATTTAAATTGAAAAAAAAAAAAGTGTAAAAGCACAAATCGCGTCTGCCGAGATTCGAACCAACGACCACAAGCTCAGAAAACTAGAGCGTCAACCCGCTGCGCTACCGCTGCCCGGATGACCTCTGCTCCCTTTCTAGAATGTTCAATGTCTGCTGAATTTGTTTTTTTACCATCGTAGGCTTGGTTTCGTATTTGTTATTTTGCAACATCTTAGCACTTATTCCTAATATTGTGGCGAAATTGACATTTCCAATATTTTATTATTGCTGTGTTTTTTATAAGTTTTATAATAAGGTAGGCTGATCGTTTTATTTCAAACGTGTTGAAGATACGATTACGATCTCATCGAAGCAACGGCCTATGTTTCCCACGTTTCGCCGGCCGTGTGCGTTTGAATGCCTGTGTTCACGACCGGCTAACGGTCCAATTACCCGATTAGGGGTGATGCGTGGAGTTTGCCTTAGTTTCAAATGTGTCCGACAAAGACGGAAGCGACTGTGGGACGTGGATCTACGTCAAATCTGCTCAACAGCCAAGATCATGGCACGGGATCGAAGTAAGTTCGTGTTTTGTTCGTTTGGGCTAGATTATTTCCTGCGTTCAGAAGGCTTGTTATTGTCTGCAGATCGCTTGCTTTTACCAGTATTACTAATTGTGCGCAAATGGTGTTATGTGAGGCTGTTTTTCTTTTTTCCCCGATGCAGAGGCTGACTACTCGCTTAAGGTCGATCAGTTGCGGCGGAACTCTTTGGGAGACGGATTGGGGGTGGAAGGGGGGGGGGAGGAAGGCAAAGGCGGGTTGATTTCCTCCCTCCGCCGTATTGTTTACTGGTAAGCTAGAATGTCTGGAAGAGCGCGGTGCCCCTCCATTGCCGACGCCACTCTCCGTACTTGCGTGCTGAGAG